TGAGGATGTCTCGAGCGAAACGCTCATTTTGAGAATCCGCCAGGCCCCCGACAACGAGGCGGCGCCGCACGTTCCCCATCCAGACCTCCCCCTGATAAGTAAATCCCTCTGGGCATGCAGACGTCCATCGCGACTCTTCGAATCTCGGCGCGCTTCCCGTCATCCGCCGACCCCTTGTGGGTCTCCAGGCGCGTGAGACCCTTCCCCCCCGCAATCCCCCCCCAGGAACCCGAAACCGCAATTCGCCCCCCTCCCCCCCCCCCCCCCCTCCCCCGGACCCGGCCGGACCCCAGACCGAACGCGTCGCAGGGCTCCAAAGCTCGTCAAAAAGGCAACACAACTATACAAAAAGGTACCAAGACGCTCCCCGGACGGTCCCCGAGACCACGATTCGCCGACATAGCGCCCCCAGACGCCCACGATGGCCTCCAGGCGGTCTCCGAAGCTGCCAAGACGCCCCAAAGAGGCCCCTCAGATGCGCCCCGAGAATGTCGCAAGAAACATAAATCGGCCCATTTCCTTCGAGAACCACGCATTACTCCGCACGCTCCCTACTCGGCAATCACAACGTCCACAACAGGCAAAGAAACCTTCAACATCGCTCCCAGACGGCCAAAGGGGCCCCAAAGCAGGGTCGCTGAGGGTCCAGCAACAGCGCACGAAGCCCCCAAGACAGCCCAAGAGGGCCCCCAGACGGCTTCAACACGGAGTCCACAGGGCACCTTTCGAGCCTTCGGCTCCAAGGCGCTCCCAGCCTGCTCCAAGAACACCCCAAAAAGGCCTGCGGGACCTTACAAAAAACCTCCGAAGCGTCCAAGAAGCCACGAGGAAGCCCCCAAGAGGCCCCAAAACTACCTGCAAGACGACCCCGTCAGGCCTCGCACGAAATTACTTTTCACCATCCGTGCGACAGCCTACCTGTATACCGCGCAAGGTGGCGGGATGCGCCGCGTCCCATTCGACAACGACTCGTCCAATTTTTGGACCGCCGCATGCCGTCTTGGGCGCGGGTGTTGACAGGTATTTTCCCCAAATCGTCACTCCTCCTTCTCCTCCTCCTCCTCCGATGACCCTCCTCCGCCTCTCCCATCCTCCCCCTCTTCCTCCTCCTCCGCTTTCTCCTGTTTGGTACCATGTCACCATCTCCGCGTCTCATCATCAACACCATCACCACCAGCATCATCATCGCCATCACCCGCACCATGACCACCGCCATCACCATCACCACCACCACGGATCAACATCACCACCTCCTGGATCACTGCCTTGTCGCGTGTCTGGACACAAGTGATGCAACCCGCATCCGCCAACCCCATTGGGGGCCTCCAGACGTGTAAGATTCGTCTCGCGAACGGCCCCACATGCCCCCGGACTCGCTCGGGGATGGCCCCGAAGAGCCTCGAGCCCGCCCACCAAAAGAAACAAGACAACACAAGTACGCCCCAGGACAGCAACACGACATCCCCAAGAAGATCAAGGGGTCGGCGGATGTGGCGTAAGCCCATAGAATCAGCCCGTCTGCAGAGGCTGCGAACCAAGAGGTGTTCAATGAGTTCGCCAAGGCGCACCCACCGGGGTGCCTGGAGCTCCAGACACAAATTCTCTGCACGCAGTTGCAGGATTGCTTCGACCAGAAGCACACCAAGCTGTACATCCGTCTAGTGCTGGAGTTTCGCAAGGTTGAACTGCAGGTGATGGCACCCATGAAGGTATTGTGACACCCGCACCTGACCGGCCAGGCGCCCAAAGGGAGCTTGACGCGGCGTGCGCAGCAGCTCTTAGACGAGCTCGAGGGCAAAAGCCCGGGGCAGAGCCAGGAGTACTAATTATGCATGGCTGTCTCTCGCTGTCTTTGGTTGCGAACTTCTGCTTGTCCCTGCCTCTTCTCTCTCTCTCTCTCTGGCTCGCTGGTCCTTCTTGTCTCGTCCTGCCTGCTGCTTTCTCGTCGTCTTGCTTCCCATCCGTTCGAATCTCGCTTGGGTGGCCCAGAGCCGCCTCCGGCGTCTGCAACCTGCAGCGCTACGGTCGTTGCTCGAGGGCGCGGATTGTGCGATTCGTGTGTGTTCTATCGATCGTAACGCATTTTCTGCTCGCTTGTTCTTTACGAAGATGCGGCAGGCCTTCAGTGCCACCGCAGGTTCCCTCAGAGTCACTGCATAGGTGTGTAGACCACTGCTTGGACTCCCTACAGGGTGCGACGACGACGAAGAGGGGGCGGAGAAGGAAGGAAGAGGAGGAGGAGGAGGAGGAGGAGGAGGAGGAGGAGGAGGAGGGGGAGGGGGAGGAGAAGGTGGAGGAGGAGGAAGAGGAGGAGGAAGAGGAGAAGAAACAGGAGAAGAGGAGGGCGAGGGGGAGGGGGAGGGGGACGAGGAGAGGACGAGGACCAGTGCAAACCCAAGAATCATCGACGATGTTGGAGTTAACCCTCCCTCCAAGCTCCCTCTTCATAGGCCCCTACAACGGTTCATTTCCATTGAGGGAGCATGCCTACAACGGCCTCGTTGGAAGACAGCCGTTTGAAGACCTTGAAGCATGCCAATTCATTGTTCTTTGGATTTCCACGCCACGGATCAACCTGACTGCTGCGTCCTGACGATCTGGACTCGTGCCAGAACGCTATTTTGGGGATTTCAACACCGCGAAACAAGATAACTGTTGCACCCGCAAAATCCTGAATCCTTCCAGGACTCCATTTCTGGTACCTTGGTCATGGGAATCCGCGAATATCTTGCAACTGTGTTAGACGAATGTGCGCGGCGCTGAAGCGAGAACCACATTTTGAAAAGGAACCGCCCTCAATCCGTGAATCTCCTGCACATGTTTAGAACGAATGTGCGCGGCGCAGAAGCGAGAACCACATTTTGAAAACCACCGACGCTCAATCCGTGAAACCAACAATTGAAAACGAATGCGCGCGGCGCTACGGCGAGAACCACATGTTGTAAACCACCCGCCATCAATCCGTGAAGCTCTTGCAAAATTTGAAACGAATGTGCGCGGCGCAAATGCGAGAGCCACATTTTGAAAACGACCAGCCCTCAATCCGTAAACCTCTTGCAGGTTTTTAAACGAATGTGCGCGGCGCCAGAACGAGAGCCACATGTTGAAAATGACCCGCTCTCAATCCTTGAAACTCTTGCAAATGTTTACAAACGAATCTGCGCGGCGCTAAGGCAAGAGCCAAATTTTGAAAACGCCCCGCCCGCCATCTTTGAAACTGTTGTTAAACTGTAGAGTCATGAGTGGTGAGGAAGTCTCAGGCGAAACGCTCGGCCCGCCCTAAAAACTGGCCTCGGGGTGCGACAGGGCGAAACTATGTGTAAGGAAAAGGAATGGAGGAGGAGGAGGAGGAGGAGGAGGAGGAGGAGGAGAACAGCGTGTGTTCGGAGGACGAGACAAGGCGGAGGAGGGGGAGGAGGTGGAGCTGAGAGCGTCGGCGCAGTGTCCTCAAACCCCGAGTCACACCGATTTCCCTCCTCCTTTTTGGCACGGATGCGACAGGTTAGTGTCGTGACAACCTGACATCTCGTGCATCGTTTGACATTTATCGTTTGATTGTTTTTCGATCGCCAGATCGTGTTCTGGGCCACAAGCCATACTGGCCGATTGTGGTGCTGGATTCGTCGCCGCGCCGGCGCGACACGAAACTGCCGCAAACTCCTGGGCTGTTGTTTCCCAACCATCCTTGGTTGGGTATTCGTTTTGAATAGAGCAATGCGGTCTCCAATTCTCCTCCTCCCGCCTCCCGTCTCCCGCTCCCCTCTTGTCTCCTCTTGCCTTGCGCGAACCTGGCCATCCCTGGGGGCTGCGATCTGCGACTCTGTCGCCACTTTCGAGGGCTGCTGGTGGGTCCTGCGGAGTGAAGCACCGCGGGGATCTGAGCGGGACCTCGCCGTCCCCGGGGGGCTGCGATCTGCGACACTGTCGCCACTTTCGAGGGCTGCCGGTGGGTCCTACGGAGTGAGGCACCGCTGGGATCTTAGCGGGACCTCGCCGTCCCTGGGGGGCTGCGATCTGCGACTCTGTCGCCACTTTCGAAGGCGGCTGGTGGGTCCTGCGGAGTGAGGCACCGCGGGGATCTGAGCGGGATCTCGCCGTCCTTGGGGGGCTGCGATCTGCGATACCGTCGCCACTTTCGAGGGCTGCCGGTGGGTCCTGCGGAGTGAGGCACCGCTGGGATCTGAGCGGGACCTCGCCGTCCCTGGGGGGCTGCGATCTGCGACTCTGTCGCCACTTTCGAAGGCGGCTGGTGGGTCCTGCGGAGTGAGGCACCGCGGGGATCTGAGCGGGACCTCGCCGTCCCTGGGGGGCTGCGATCTGCGATACTGTCGCCACTTTCGAGGGCTGCTGGTGGGTCCTGCGGAGTGAGGCACCGCGGGGATCTGAGCGGGACCTCGCCGTCCCTGGGGGGCTGCGATCGGCGACTCTATCGCCACTTTCGAGGGCTGCTGGTGGGTCCTGCGGAGTGAGGCACCGCGGGGATTTGAGCGGGACCTCGCCGTCCCTGGGGGGGCTCTGGAGAGCTGCTGCGGGATACGTTATGCGCAACGGGCGCATGGCACAGCCAACGGGGGTGATTTGTGAAACAGACCATTTGCCGGGCGATGGCCATAACGTTGTGCCTACACGTATCCCGCGGGGGCTCTCAGGAGCTGCTGTTGGATACGTTGGGTGCAACGGGCGCATGGCACAGCCAACGGGGGGATTTGTTATTACCTAGCCCTTAGATCTTGATCGGGGGCCTGCGAGCCTTCCGATTGCTGCTCGCAAGATCACATGCGCCCATGTTACGTCATCGCCGCAATTGTAGCAATCCTGATGCACTTATGCCCCGCATTGCGCAAGGGTTGGGTACGTCGCCAGGGTAATGAATCAGTCCTTGGCTGCTTTGCTTCAGTCTCAAAACCTCCTCACCAAATTCAAACTCAAACTATCCTCCTCCTCCTCCTCACCCTCCTCCTCCTCCTCCTCCTCCTCCTCCTCCTCACCCCCCCTGTCGCCGTCGGCGTTCAGGAAGGCGTCGAGGGCGTGCAGAGCAATCTCGAGACCGAGCAGCTTGAGGTAC